GAAGGACTGCGGGGTGTGCTTCTTGGAGGAGGGAGGGTGCACTTAATTTGATCAACTCTCGAAGCTCCCTAACAGATTGAATAATAATTCGTAGAAACAAAAAAATAAAATGAAGCAACCAGTGGCGGATCCAGACCTTGAGCTGCCGTGCGATTTTGATGCATTGTGGTTCTGAATCACGTTCCTTGATCACTTGCTCTAAGAGGGACTAGCATTCTCTGATACTTGACTGTGAAAGGCTCTTCGTCTAGAATAAAAACACGTTGGGAAATTATACCAGAAGCATATCACCCAGAACTAGGTGATATGCTTCTGACTATACCAAATGAATATCAAAGCACATGTTTCAAATCCGGATATTTTAAAAGAGCAGTGCAGTAGTTTCTTCATGAAGAGGAAAAAGTTTGACCTTCTTTACGTCAGTGTTGACATCTGGCATTTTAGAAATCGGAATTCATAACATAACTGTGAGTTAAGAGAAGAAAGAGCATGGAAAATGTGGTTGTCGCTTCTAGTTCTAAAAAACTCCAACTTTTAAAAACGTTTACCCTTTTAAATTGGGAGGGGCGGAAAGCCCTGGAAACGAGGTTGCTGTCTGAATCTGATCTAAATTCGGCGTGTATGCTAAAAAAACGCTATCTCGCATTATTTTAACATGTTTACATTTTTGAGTTGTTTAAACGTCTGCAGTTTTCAGCCAGGGACGCAGGCAATGATAATTTGCTGGAAAATGTTAACACAGAAATAAGAACTCTGTTACATGAAACAGCTCAAGCTTGGAGGCTTTGATATGTTGTTTTTTTTTCTCTTTGTTGCATTTTATAGTTCAAACACGTGAGGAATTGTTTCAAAACGTCTCCGTACGCCGAGGAGAGAGTTGAAAATACAACGCCCATTGACAGAAATATGAAGTTAACAGAACCTCCTTAATGTACCTGAGCGCGCCTGAGTAAGAGCTTAATAACTTGCAATCATATGACGGTATATTTAATTCCATCCGAAAACAAACTTTTCCAATTGTTTCTTTTTTACTCAACTAGTCTAAACACAGTGAGCTGATTAACAGCCGCAACAAGAACAAGAGAACTAAAAATCATATCTGAACTGAAAACTGTGCCCAGTATTGTAGACGGAGTCAAGCTCGATCACAGATATTTTATCTCTAAAGCTTTCAAATGCTTTTTAAAATCTCTAATTATAGCAATCAGAATCGAAGCATACTCTTAATTCAAATGTAGAGGTTTAGTCCACTTAGTTCTACTGATGGCGAGTCCTCTGAACTTTCTCTGCGAATGCTTGAAAATCTACGTTCTTCTCAATCGAAACCCAAAAACTGAGGATTGAACAGGGCTCCTTGTGCGATAGCGATTCTTAGCAGCCCCTCCCCCACCCCCCGCCCCCAAAAAACAAAAAAACGCTGGCAGTGAGCGGTGAAAGACCAGATTTACGATATGAGCGAGATACCCCGTGTCGACAACAACCAACAATTCAACAGAAAGATTTTATTTAAGTAATCTTACTTTTAACTCTTACTTTTAACTCTTGTCTTTTCCTTTCTTCTCTTGGTTTAACGCTTCTCTGCAGGGTCGGTCTCTACTGGTATCACATTCAATTATTTTCCTTCTTCACATTTCACTGACCTGATAAACGTTCCTCTAGATTCTCTTTTGATTATCTTTTCCTTACAACTGATAGCTCAAAAGATAATCATCGTATGTTTATCACGCGATTTCAGTTGCTAACCAAAGTTTTTACACTAAGGTTAAACTTATACTTTAAATTATACAATACAGCTTTCACTAGTAAGAAAAAACACTAGATGTTACTAGAAACTATTTACCGGTGAGAAACCTAAGTTTAATCAAATAAACACATAGTTAGATCACGACTCAATTCTTAGCTGTTCTACAAAATTCTCAACAAGAGGCGACGCCCAAGTTGACATAAAAATGCTGAACTAAAAATGGATTGATATATCTAAAGGATACATCGGAAGTTTGTTTCCTTAAGTTATTTAGGCAATGCATATATGGGATTCAAGTTGGGAAAGTTTACTAAAAGCATATTCATAACTATAAATGTCAAAGTAGAGTCATGATGTCCCAAAATGGACGGAGCAAAATACATTATGTCTGTTACCAGTATATGCAGATCACGTAGAAAACCACGAAACTTCATAAGGACTTTTCCCCTAGACCTAAATCTCATCTAAAGTAACTAGAAACAAGTAAAATTCTTAAATGTCCGCAAATAGGCCTGGTCTAAGCCTCAGTCGAGTAGATACAAAAATACTGTTTTTATTCTAACTTATTAATTGAAATATATTCCATCAACAATGTTCAAACTAGTTAAGTTGGAATTCTACAGGCGTTACGATTTCTGGTTATTTGTATTTGTAACTGTTTTAAATTATGCTGATAGAATAAACTATTGTTTGTTTGTTTGTTTGTTTGTTATAGAATGCTTTAGTTCCTGCAAAGTACTAAGCAATTACCAATTGAAAAGGCTTGATAATAATTCCACTGACCTCGACTTCTTCGACATTTAATTTAATCTAGGGGTGGCACTGTTGCCACGGCATCTGTTGCCATGTCGATAGTTTCTCACGTGTGGCTGAGGGGAGACATCAAGTATTTAAACATATCCCACCCCCTAAGGCCAATCACGATTGAGGAATAACCAAGCCCACCACTTGGGGGTAACTCCTTGAAAAGTCTGCCGGCGTTGACGCTGTATAAGTCACCACTCGCCAGGAACAAAAAATGATTGTAACCATACCAGCGCTCGCCACCGATAAAATCAGACGACCCCAGCCAGCTGTCATTTCTATCTACGGGGGGTTTCCGCTTATGACACTTGCCGTTTTCGACGCCATATAAGAAACCCTTTGGGTCGAAGAAGAGGAAATCGAAGTCGGACCACCCTGCGGCTCCAACCAGTGTGGCAGATCCAAGCCAGTGATCTTGGTCGCTGGACGGGGGGTCCCGCTTGTAAAGCCTGTCATCATGAACAGCATACAGCACTCCTTCCGGATCAAAGAACAGAAACTTGAAAGAATCCCATCCACCGTCGCCTATAAGAGTAGCTTGAGCGATCCACCCCTCAAATGATGAACTCTTGGGGGGTGGTGCCTTGTAGAACTTGTCATTCACCACGCCAAATAAGGTGCCGTCTGGATGGAAGAAAAGATGGCGGAAGTCGGCCCAACCTGTTGTTCCAATTTGTACGGCTGAGGTCATCCAGCTTTCAGAAGTACTCATGGGTGGAATTCCCTTATAAAATTCACCTCCGTGCGTGACTGCATAAAAATGTGCCATGGTGCTAAAACAAACAAAACAAGATCCAAGTTGAATGAAAATAACTTGTGTAAACAAGTAGCCTAGAGCGCCAATTTTCTCCTACGCTCAAGAGAAATTTTAGAGTTGGTCCAAAAAATTCCAAATTGATGACTTCACTCTACAGAGATCCATTTAAGGCCTCTGATTGACAGTTGCTCAGTATAAACTTTCCCGCGCGAGTAACAACCCACCAATCAGAGACAATTTACCGATCTCTTCAACGCACGTCGCCTGAATGGGCGTATGTAACTTTCGGTCTAAACTCCTCAGGGTACTCGTATAGTCGTGACTGATTCTTTGAATAAGCTGCGGAATTTGGCAGCAGAGTAATAGACTAGTTTCTATAGGTAGGTCGACCAGAACGTCAAAAGTATTACCTCTTATTTTTAATAACAAGAAAATCTGTAGGTGAAAACGTTCATGACTTTTAATGCTTAACTGAAGATAAGCCGGTCCTGACAGTGCGCTGGTATTTTTTACATCAATTCTGGGTGCGACCAGACACTGGGAAAGTGAGATGATTTTCCCACTAAGACTACTGAGACACACTGACTCCCATGCGGGCTCAAACCCTGACTGCTCAATGCTGAAGCCAGTGCACAAACCGCGATGAAACCATCGCGGCTCCCTTGTGGTGCAGCCAAAAAAAATTCAGAAAGAATTCAGCATCATCCAGATGGGCAGTTCAGATTTATTCACCGTGCTTTTATAACTAAACTTAATACTCGGTCAATTTGTATGAAATTTAGGCACCAAACAGATCAGTTTGGACAGAGCTGCACATTGGAAGTGTAAAGTCGTAGCCCCACCAATATCAGACTTGACCAGATCGACAACCAGCCCTCAAAGTTCGCCAACTTTTGCCTGTTATACTTTTATGGTCAAGTGAATATCTGATTAAGAGCTGCAAAGGAAGCTATCGTATGGGGGTATACCCGATAAATGCAAAGAACAAGGTACATTGTATTTTTGAACGTTTTTCTTTTTTTCATTGTAGATATTCTTCAATCCAACCTGTGACATCCTATTTGTCTGTTGCGGTGATTTATGGTATACCCAAACGATACCTTTCAATTAGTATGTAACTTGTGGTCTTTAGGTACAGTTAAATATATTGATTCTCATTTTAGAAAGACTATTCCCACCGAGGCTTAAAAAGTTAAATCCTCGGGCACCCAAGAAAACAGAGCTAGCTGAGTGTATCATTTTCTGAAATACACTCGGCTTCCGTAGGATTGTGAGCAAATATTGTGCACAATGGCGCGCCACAGCCTTCAGCAATACTCTATTCCAAACACGACGCCTTTGTCTTTTTTAAAAATTTGTGGTCTGTCTTTACAAGTTTGACTTAAAGCGGCTCAGTCACGGTATTTTGAGTTATTTTGGCCACATACATAATAAAAGATAATGATAAACCACAAAGGAACAAGGATGGCTAAGGATGGAGAAGATTAACACGGATTAAAAACGACAAATTTGAAAAATTGAGGCTAAACTTTTCAATATGCGCAAATCGTGACTGAGCTCCTTTGACTTGCTTGCGCAGTCTTCAGAGCGGAAACGTACTGCGCAGCTTTCTGCGCATCCCTTGGACTGCTAATAAGGTACGCGAGGATGTAGTTCGGTTGATTTATTTATACTTGGGCAAGCTTGCATTTTTTTTTAGGCATTTTAGCGTTAAGAAAACAAGTCTTCCCCTGCCTGCTGAGGGTCTCTCTTTTTTATATATTCAGTGGGTTGCTTACATGGATGCAATACGTAAAGAGTGTTTGAGGGAAAAATGTGTCTTCGCACCGAAATTTCTTGTATACCGTGGGGAAATAAAAGGTTCGGACACTTTCTCTAGGTTAATTTTGTCCGAAAAAAAAATTGATTCTCGAAAAAACAATACACCAGCTTTCTGTTGGTGACGTTAAAATGTTGCTGCCGACCAGGAAAATTAGGAAAGCATATGAAGTTCGTAACTCTTTTGTTTACATGATCGACGAAATTCCCGCCATTTTTTCAAACTTGGAGTCTGGAGCACAGCCAAACCTCGCGCATGCTTATTGCGTTTTTCGTCTCTGAATGCGCAGTCCAGATAACTCGCGTATGACATTATGAGTAACTGTATTTCCGCTTGTCACGTACTCTCGTGTTACATAACAACGCGTTCAATCATCTTTATGATACCATGATCATATCATTTCGCTACCAGAAAATCAGCTTTATTACTGATCATGAAATTCCAGGCGAGCAAAGGCGCTCTTCTCCGTTACCCTACAATAGCAAAGATATACCTTAGAAAATCTCATACAGAAAACGAAATGTCCTACGTCACTTTACGAAGGCACATTTTCCTGCTCTGACCCCTTGGGTAGGCTGACTATTTTTCCGATAAGTTGTTATTGGAACACCGTGATGTGTTAAAAGTCACTACTATCATTATGTTGATTTTCTATTATTGTTAAAAATATTCTTGCACAAGCCATTACCCACCAAAAAATCATGCACAACCTTAGGGTGGGAAAGAAAGTTTTCAGGCCCCAGAAAACTCTCTGCCCCCACCCCCTTTGAAAAAAGAAATAATGGTCCGTCGCCTTATATTGTAAATATCATATCCCGTTGTGCGATATATTTCTTTTTGGGTGGCCCTGAAGAACAATTGAATTTTGACAGATATGATTGCAAAGTAAATAACGTTAATGAATAGTCGCACCGCGTGACCGAGCTCCTTTAACTGCGTATTGCGTGACATTACCGCGTGCTCGGGGCGGAGAGGAACTCCCTTTTGAAAGAGACATGGATGCTTATCATCTCGCTTAGGGGTCTAAATTTTGGATTTTTGGTGTTCATTTTAGCTGGTAGTGTGTAGCTTAAGGCAATAACTTGACTACAAATACACTAGTTTACAAATTACGTGTGCCACTTACGTCTGCTTACTGCTAAGATGATTTGGGTGTCCTATTACGCCCGCTACATTGTACGTGTGGTGGTTAAATATTTCACGCGGTGCACTTTTTTAATTGAAAGTTGACGTGGTGCATGAAGCAGCTTACTTTAATTTCTTAAGAGTAAAAACAACATAAACAGAAAGCAACTATGACTGAACACAAAGAATATGGCACACGGTGTAATATACAGGAATTTTAAGAGATCAAGTGAAACTTATGGCTTCCCTTGCACATTCTGTCACAATGAATTGTTCAAATTAATTATTATAACTTTTCAAATAAGTTTAAAATTACCATTTTGTAGATTACTAAACAACTGTTTAGTCTGGCACTAACCTCATTCCAATACCTTTGTGATTTTCTGTGTGACCTTCTGCTTTTACCCTTTCTGTTTGAAAAAAAAATAAATTCAAACCTAAATAGTTATGGAACAAAAGGGTATGTGCCAAATTACTTGAAAGCAACACTCGATACATCCCTGTAAGCCAACACAAAATCAGTTTGGAAACAAGTGTGTTTTGGCCAATCCCCCCTGAAAAAAAAGCTATAACCACAAACAGCTCAGATCTTATGAGTTGTATTTGATATGTTTGAGATAACTGGCCAGAACCGTAATTACATTTCTTGACCAAAAACACCACAACATTTTACTAAGCCTGTGACAAAGCCCCAGCATGCTTCACAGTTGACATGCTCAATCCAGACCTATTGTCCCTAAAAATAGTGCCTGCAGTCCCGCTTCGTTTAGCATCTGGATGGTCACTCTGTGAACTGTCTTTGCCTGTTAATGTGTCTAAAGACCTTTAAGAGAGAACCTGGTCAAACTGACCATCTTAAAAACTTAACACTTTATCACCAAGGGCAATCATGGGATTGTGCCCATTAAATAATTGGTGCCCATAAAAAAAATATCTGTTCTTTACAGCAACAAACTTGCTCTTAATTAAGATTTAAAAAGAAAACTTTACAAATACACTACTATATTTTTTAACACCAGTTGAAACTGCGGGGATAATATAGGATGTCCACAGAAACTCCGATTCTATCGGTGATACAAATACATAAACCCTCGTATGTGACACAGCCTTTTATATATTAGGAACTTTTCAGTTTTCCACACTTCCATTTTACTACAGTGTGATGGTATACCAGTTCTTATCAGTGCAAGTTAAACTTCGTTTAAACCAATTGGTCAGGAACATCAATCTTAACAGTGGTAACACAAAGGTACACAAAACTTTGGGGATCATTTGTTTTACAAGCCAATTGCTACTGATGATGGCCACCACTCTCAATTCCTGTTTTCCCGATGAACTGCTGAGCACATGTTCCACTGTTTAATGCCTCTCTCACAAATCGATTTTCTCAATAACAAGCATTAATTTTGGCTATTTTTGTGAACTCAAGACCCCTTATGATCCTTTTCTGGTTGTGAAATCCTTATTCCAGACTGTCATTTGAATATTTTTATAATATAGACATTGCGTGTTTAACAGGAAAATACACCATTCATAAACTTAAAGTTTTTTTTTTTTATTTTTTAAATGAAACAACATTCGGGACCTGAGTAGTTTATTTTCCATATCCTCACTAGCGAGGATATTGATGACGTCATTTCCTGAGCTAGCTTTATCATGATAGTTTGTACAAAAAGTCAGTTTGTCTATGGTAGGTAGGTAAAGTCTGCATATGGGCCAAGTGGGCCACCAGGCCGGAGCTTATCCTGGTTTCTGTAACATGAAGCGGCTAGGATTATTTCTAATCCCCCCTGGATGGGATGCTAGTCCATTGCAGCGTTACCCCCAAGTAATCAGTTCGCCGTTACAAATTTATACATCTGGGTAGAGAGAGGCACTGTGAGAGTAAAGTGTCTTGCCCTATAACACAATGCAATGTCCCCGGTCAGGGCTCCAACCCGGACCACTTGATCAAGAGATAAGCACAGCAACCATGAGGCCACCCTAGTTTGGCTATAATTATAATAAAAGGAAAATTAATATTGTGCACACGGTGGCTTGAAAACATGAATTTTAACTTCTCTCATAAAAAAAAAAACAATATTTTACTCCCTTGCTGAGTTAATTCGTAAAATATTGTTTCGCGCTGCCGTGAAATATCATCTATTATAATCCATCAAATATTTTAGCTTGTGTGAGATTGGTGTAAAAGCGTCATATGGCTTAATATTCCCCAGCTAAAACCGCACAAGTGGCGAAATACATTTGAAGGTTAACAAACACAATAGCCTCCATTTGGCACAAAAATATGCTTGGATATTTGTCCTTGGACATTACCTGTTCCGCAGAGTTCACAGTTTTCCTTGAGCTATGCTCTCAGAAAACTGTTCTCTTCCCGGAACAGGTAATGTCCACGGACAAGTATGCAAGCATATTTCGCACCAGATGGGAGCTATTGCTTACGTATGTACCATCCCCTGATGCTACCAAAATTGACAAGTGTCAATATCTTTCTTATTAATGCCCATTAAAGGGATGTGACATAAAGTACTTTTTTTCGCCATTTTAGTCTACTATATTACATTGCTTCCTAAATCAAACATTCTTGCCAACATAATGGTCTACCGTAAATCCTGAGGGATTAGCAATGCAGTGTATGATGAAAATCGCATCTTTCCTATCTAAGCCATTTTAAAACATAAACAAGTAGTCTGTTTGAGAAGAAAAATGCTGTTCACTTTTTCAAATGTCTCTTTCCGTTCCAGAGATATTCAAGTTTTTAAAATATGCAAATTGGCCAAGTGATGACAAATATGATGAAGAAAGATATCTCAGCCAATTTGTATCAGGAATGTTTGATTCTTTGCAGTAAGGTTTTTACTAATGTGTTCCACAATACGAGCTTAATAGTTTTGTTGCCCTGGCAAAATACTGGGCTCCAGACCTCCCCAACATTCAAGGCTTTTCTGGCAACCTTTGGAGTTCCATTTTGATATTTGCAAATGGTGCCTCAAGCATTTACACGTTAGCTCGAGGTTGTGACCTCGTTTAATGTTTGTCGAGCTGAAAATCACTATCATATTGAAATCAAGTGGGTGAGGACTGGAAAAGAGTGAGTTGCTAAGGAAACAGAATTTTTTATAGCCCAGATGTGTTTTCTTTAGAACTATTAGCCTACCGTGTTTCAATGGTCTGTGCTGCAAATTGGCCAACATAGCTCTATTTACGTACTTGGTATAATATTGGGTTGAGCGTGTGACATCATCAATCATCTCATTTGCATATTTTGCACATTTTTCAAACTTAAATATCTCCGGAACTAATGCAGATATTTGGAAACAGTAAACGGGGTTTTCATTCTTTCATGAAATTCTATGCGCTACACCTAAATATCAAGGGGTAAAAATTTGATCAACGTACCACGTTAATATTTTTACCCAAGGCTTTAGATGAAGTTTCATTAACCAATAAGGTTGTAGGCATCAAATTTTAGAGAACAAATAAGTCAGAGTCATCCATTCTTTGGCAAGTCCTTTTTTGCTGTGAAATAAACTGTTCTACACCTTCATGATTGTCACAGACATTTTCTGCTATGCCAGACCCTATTATATCCAGGGAAGGAACTTTTATNAACAGTAAACGGGGTTTTCATTCTTTCATGAAATTCTATGCACTGCACCTAAATATCAAGGGGTAAAAATTTGATCAAAGTACCACTTTAATATTTTTACCCAAGGCTTTAGATGAATTTTCATTAACCAATAAAGTTGTAGGCATCAAATTTTTGAGAACAAATAAGTTAGGGTCATCCATTCTTTGGCAAGTCCTTTTTTGCTGTGAAATAAACTGTTCTACACCTTCATGATTGTCACAGACATTTTCTGCTATGCCAGACCCTATTATATCCAGGGAAGGAACTTTTATGTTAAGTCACCCACAAGATGGTCATGGCCCCATTTAGGCATACACATTGTAAATTGTATACTTTGGTATTACTTAGGGTGTTCAGGACAGAATTCCAATGTTTTAACCCATCAAGTACCTTTTAATGTTAAATATTATTACATGACTAGCTCCGTGAGCGGGCAAGATCAACCAAATCCTGCGCTGTGATTGGCTACCCGAGTGGGCAAGATGGAGCTATCTTGCCCGCTGACTGCCCGCCGTGTCCTGCAAGAAAAATTTCTCCGAAAGCCATACAATAAATCTTTTATTGACCAAGCTTGTTCAGGATGAGTGGATATTGGCAAAAAAGAACTTATCAATATCCCGCTATCTTGACCTCACACTTGGTAAATAACCTATATATATGTACACATAAAGAAATAGAAAAAAAAAAACACCCATATCATATTGTGTTGATAGTTTAGATAAATGATAAAGGCATATTAATTTCAACAACAATGTATTTATCATTCTTAAAGACGTTATTAATTGCTGTTATTTGTGTGTCTGTTTTAGAATGGCAGCTTTCAACGATCAAATAAAGTATGAGACAAACCCAGATTGGTCTCCTTCAAGGGTCCATTTCAAATTTTTGGATGACGATCCCGACACATTACATGGAGAATCCCCATGGGACATTACATTTATATCAAATATTTGTTTGTAAAACTAAAAGAAAGTCATCACTCTAAAGGTGCAGCATGTCAATTTAAAGGTGCACCTCACCACTTTAAGGTGAGCTTCATTACTTTAAAGGTACTTTTTATAGAAGTAGATTTTTATCACTTCTTAACTCACCTGAACGAATTGTTTGATTGTCAATTTCTTGGTCTCCAAGCAATTGTTTTAGAAAGTCCTTTCTTGTTAAGAACAAGTGAATAATTGAAACTATGCAGAGAACAATGGATATTGCCATAATTGTAACAACGCCAATGTTCAGTTTGGATTTCTGCCTGTGATGTAAATCATTGCATGTCATATTCACTTGGTTGGTGGGAATTTGGGTGCTGTTCCCTTGTGAGCAGATGTACACCACTGGAAGATGAAGGGTCTGGAAGCCACAGAAGAGCCCCATCATCACACCAAGAGCAGCAAGTTGAATGCAAACATGAAAAAAAAACCTCCACATATATCGCTTTGACAGGCATTTCTTTTCATTGCTGTCCCCTTCCTTATTGATTTGCCGTAGTGCTAAGACACTGTAAAGAATAAAGACTACCCAAAAGAAACCCAAAATACCACCGATGATAAGAGCAAAATTAAGTGGTATTAACAATAGGCTCACGGTGGAAATGTAGTCATTATAACATAGTTGTTGCGTGACATCACTAGGCTTGGGGATACAGTTGAAATTCTCCTTATCTGTGTCATGCAAACCCTTCAGCAAACCAATTATTGTGGGCCAGGAGACCAGAAACAGAACAAAATGAACAGCACCACATACAGTTTGCGACTTGAAAGCAAGTTCAGTTATTTTATCCATTGTACAATGTGCTCCAACCGATCATGATCTAAGAGAAACAAAAATAAATCAGTATTCCAAAATGCATTTTACAGTTAGCTGTGACAATACTTAGTGCCAAAAATAGTCTTTAATCTCAGATTGCCATAAAGCAAATAGCTGACAACCACACGGTGCATTCAAGAATTATAGCGCAGTCACAGAATAATTACGAACTGAAAATGACAGTATGTTTTTTTCTTAATAGTCACAAAGCAAATTGCAGCCCTGTAGTTCATTTAGGAGAACAAGTGCCATTTAAGAACTCATCACAATACAGTACCGATCAGAAGGAACGCTTGACAGAACGCGTTCTGTTGCCATTCCACACGCGTTCCTGTTCCCGTTCTTTATCCGTTCCATATCCGTTCTCTATCCGTTCTGTTTTGGTCTGTTCCCGTTCTGTTAGCGTTCCATCGGTAAGCTGCGTTCTCGGAAGTTGTTCAGAAGAACGAGGTTTACGAGAACTCGTTTACAAGAATGCTTCCAAGAAATTAGCGACACTTGGTTAAAACTGTCGCCTTATGCGAGAATACAAACAATAAACTTAATGCATTTTCGTGGTGAAAATGTGAGTCCAGTTCCTTGAAAAATACGGGAAGAAGATGGTATTGTAACTTCAAGGCCAGTGAGGGAGTCTTTTTCCGAAACGATCCAAAGGGACCGGTAGTCTGACTGTGTGCCCAAGGAAAGGAAGAAGTAACCATTATTTGGATATATATATATAGCTTGCCGGGGTTTGTTGACAATAACAAAATGGCCACGATGAACACGAAATGGACAAGAAGATGCAGATAAGATGATGCATAGTGCGTGTACAGAGAAATAAAAGAGGACATAAGATGATTCATTCTGCTGCGCGCGCCATTTTCACAAGATCGCTGGGCCAGACAAAATTTGGACGAAAGTGTATTGACAGTTGCATCGTTTCCAAATGCCTGGTAAGCACCCTGATAGCGTAACTTACTAGCGTGCATTCTGAAGAATGCGTTCTCTTATAGTTTTCCCTTTTTGTGATCCGTTAACGTTCCGTATCCGTTCCATTTCCGTTCAGTATCCATTCTGTATCCGTTCTGTACCCGTTCTGTACCCGTTCTCTACCCGTTCGCAAACGCATTCCCTGTTACAGAGTTTGTACACTTTGAGGCTTTTAAAATTCCATGACTTTCCATGACCTTTCCGAGTTTTCCATGACCAAAGTTAGGCACTTATTCTCCCAGCAGTATCAAAACAATCATTTACTTAATGTATTTTCCAGCATTATAATGCATAAAATGTGTGCTTGTTTCTATTTCTACTGAAATTAAAGCCTGTTTCTGACTCGTCTGTTATTTTTTCTATTTTTTTAAAAAATATCTTTTTGCCAAGCACATTGCTTTTCCATGACTTTCCATGACCCTCACTTAAATTCCATGACTTTCCAGGTTTTCCATGACCTGTACGAACCCTGTGTTAGGTTTCTTCTGAGCGGTACTGCATTTACAGAGCAACCACGTCAGCCGAATAGCTGTGAATCCTCCATTCTGGTCGAATTAGAATTATAAGATGTTAGTTTTTCTTGATCCCAGAGGAAAACTGGAGTACCCAGAGAAAAACCCGGAAGTTATCTCAGTGCCCTAGTTTTTGTGACGGATTACTGCGGACAGTAGGCTTAGAGTATCTTTAGAAATAACGAGCCCTGCATTTTCAAATTCCTCTAGTGTAGTGTGGATGCAGCCTTTATCTACTATACGTTATGTCCTAATTTCATCAACACACCTACATGTGTATAAATTAATTAGGCAGAATTCCATCTGCTTAACAGCAACATCAGATAAACATATATACCGTTCTGTACACAGTTTTCAATATGCAGGGTACTGTTTTTAATTTTAATGAGCCACAAGCAACTTGCTTCATGGCTTTTTAAACTTACCAAAACAACGACTAACAGTAATTAATCTCTTGCAGGGTTGTGAGGACTTAACAAAATAAATGGATCTGACTAGGATGTCAATAGAGTGAATTGCAAGGTTTCAGTTTCTTTGTAAATTCTTTGCCAGGACTACATGTAGTATTAGTAAGACTGACACATTACAGTCAAATAACTTATGTTCTGAAAATTTAACGAACATACAATGATTACTGTATATCATTCTGAAGTAACAACTTACATTTATGATGTGCGTTTTCTAAGCTTTCAATTTTTTATCACACTCCCCATTTACTTCTACAGACTCAGACATGGCATCTGTTAGATTACAAGTCAGAGGTTAACCTGCAAAGAACACATCCATCAATTAATACATGGGTAACGCAATACTGTATGGCAAAATGATGAGTACAGCCTAAAACAGGGGGGGGGGGGGAGAGAAACAGGCAAGTCTGAACTTCTCTCCTCCTGTACCTCTTCAATAGACTACTTCGTGGCTCTTGCTTGGTGCAAAATATTGAGCAATGATTATTGTTGCAGAGTTACCCCCTATATCTTGAGCTTCTCACCACCTTAGAATTACACGTCCCACTTGTTCTTCTCCTGCCTTACTGAGGACTAATCTTTTTTGTTAGTTACTCTGACTAGACAAATAAATTTTAGCCAGCCATGTCTTGTCTCGTTCGCCAAAATTTATACTGAAAACCCACCTCCCCAGCATACTAGTCAGGTGTATGACAACCACTACACCATCAGGAGAACTATGCTAGGAACACAGCAATCGAAGCTCAAGGTGATTTTACAGTACAGCCCAAAAATAATGCACGTGCAAGAAGTGGCACAAGCCGCCGAAAGAAGTAAAGTTGTCGTGTTTTCACGGTTTACCCGCCATACAAGAACATTTAAAACGCAAGAAGTTGAAATTCCAACTGCAAGGAGCCGTAAGAAGTTGAAAATCTAACTGCAAGAAGCCGCAAGAACTTATGAATCTTAACGCAAGCTGCAACAAGGCGCAAGATGTTGCTACAGTGCAAAATATGCTCAGCGCTTCCTCGCAATGTTAACCATAAGATAAGTCACTACAGTGGGAAGAGATATATTTCGAACAGCTGAGACCAGATCTGGATTTATGTTTGCTTATACTGTGAAAATAAAATCGAGCGTACTCCCTTATTACGTACTTACGTGTCCATGACACCTACAGCAGGAAAAAAGCCTCTCGATCACTTGAACAGTCTGGTAGCAGATAATTACGCGACAATCACAAAACGTCTCCAAATAATGAGGCCCATAAAGAAACAGTCCATGTGGAAAAATTGAACTACGGTATACACTTGTAGTTAGCCTGGGTTCCAACGCTTTTTGCTTCTGAATGCCAAATTCATGATCTGTGAGCAAAGCTGACAACCTTCGTTCAAATCGCACACAGAATCGCAAAGACTTCGTGTGCCGTAAACAAATGAGACACTACAATGTTGTAAACTTCTTTAAGAACTTTTTGCAGAGTTATTATTACAGGTGAAAAGCTCTTGCAGAAAATATATTTTGTATTTCTAAACAGGCGAACAAAAGGCTCATCTCTGTCTCAATCTGTAAAGTTATTTGAGACACCCTTGATTCACAGGTTGCTCAGCACGAGACCAAAATCTTCCCACTGTCAGTGACAAAATCTACTGAATGATTTATTCGTGAACGAAATCTCCAGAAATGACTTCAACAGTGTTTGGACTTTATATGGCTTACACTTAAGAACTAAATATTAGTCACATCATTCAGAAACTTCCCAAGACCTCTTGTGTAAACGGAGAAGTGCATACGCCTGAAACTTCTTGTTGGAAGAGAACCTCTGTTCATATTAGGAATATGTGGGCAGATAAAACAACTCAGTAATCATAAGGTTCGAGATTTTGCTATGGCTTTCCGGGTGCGAAAATTCTTCGGGACCTTCGAGAAACGGGTCCTGGTAACTTGGCGAGTATCGTCTTGATAAGTATTTTCGCGTGGTAAGATGTTTGCGTAAAGAAGTTCTTGCGGTTTGAAAATCCTACCGCAAAGAAGTTCTTACGTTTCGAAAATCCTACCGCAAAGAAATTCTTGCGGTTTTAAATTCTAACCGCAAAGAAGTTCTTGCGTCTCGCAGGATCCAAGCGCAATCGACCCGCAAGAACCTGAAGACGCAAAAAGAAGTTCTAGCACATGCATTATTCTTAGGCTGTACTGTAAATGATTAGGATGTGGGCTTCCCAGACAATTTTATTTTGAGGTGACAAGCCGGGCAGGGGAAGCCTATACTGTAACTCGGCTTCTCAAACTCATTAATAATTCATCAAGTTAAAACAAAGAAAATCACAACCGCGAAGGAGGTTTGGATACCCAGTCTTAATTCGCATAGATTTTGATGATTTTACTTCTCCGTTTACTCCTTAGTTTTTGTTTCAATTGAGAAGATACATCAAACACTCGAGACAGTGTTACATCAGCTATCCAAACACCTCGAATTTCAGTGTTTGGATATCCCAATGAAACACCGTCTTTCCTCTTACGTTTGAGATATTACTTGAAACCCAACTAAGGATCCAGTTGAGAATTCTTTCACTGCAAGTGCTGCGAACAACTGTTAAATGCAACAATTAGGGCGCGTTCGTTTGGGATCAATCCGGAATAGGAATAATTGGAATAATGCGAGCAAGCGTTTGTTTGGGAGCTATTGTCATTCCGGAATCCCTGGATTTCCATTCTGGCTGTTCTGCTTCCCTTTGCAGAAACAAAGATGGCGTCGTGTTCAGGTGAAAGTGTTCAGGCTGTCGATAACCTGCGATTATACCCTCCCTCCCTTATGTTCCCTTCTTCTTTCCAGAAAAAAAAAAAAAACGCCTGATCCCAGGTTAGTGAGAAGCAGGAACTTCAACTCAGCTTATCACAGCTAAAGTTTTCACCAAACACACGTGCCGTGATACGACAATTGACATCTTCGATAACGCACTGATCAATCTTCTGAACTCTCAGCTAGTTCGCTAATCGCCCAGTAAAAACTCAGGACGACTACAGCAATCATTGCAGGGCGTGTAGCTGGAAAAGGACTCGTTCCAAGTTACATCCGCGCGTTACCTGACAAAATATTGCGTGACTTACCAAACTAATTTGAATTCAGTGTCACGCGAGTAATTGAGAGTTTCAAAAACAGCAAACGATCGTAGTTCGGCAACTTCTCTGACTACTGTCTGCTCTATAAGGAGTGTGTAAAATACTGAAAGTTATACAGAGGATTCAAGCTACACAGAGATGTATACACTTGCTAGGAAAAAAAAAAACATTAAGCTCAGGTTAAACATAGCAATGACAGTGTTCAGTTGCAAAGAAGATACGAAAAATTAGGCATTGCAGGTGGCCGTCGATAAAATCAGGAACATGGAACATTCCGGAACATCTCGGAACATCCCGGAACATCGAAAAATCATGATAATTATGAGAAAAATATGTAAATTTAAATTTTCGAAAATCAAATAAACAAACTGGTATCACCTCGAAATATGAAAAGATATTTTGGGGGGTAGGGGAGTTGGTAGGGGAGACCACAATGAGAGCAGGCTCCTCTTCTTTCCTGCCAATTGCGTCACGTGGTTTTACAGCACTCTGTTTATCAACACAAACATGGACGATTCGAACGATGAATGCCAGGTAATTCATTGTGTTTCCTTTGCTGATCCCTGATTTCTTCAACATATGAGGTGTTCGTGGCATCTGAGCATCATACGGTTACTTGTAAAGTCAGTAGCCATAGTTTTGTCACTATTCCGTCTTCATGTTGCAATTACCATTCCCAGTTTTGCGCTCTCCGCTAGGAACGCCTGGCACTATGACCCACCAAGTGCAGACTCGGTCTTTCCGGAAACCCGAGTAATCAAAGTGCGTCCACGCGCGTACTACGCATGTTTGGTCTACTTTGGTGGCGTTCGAATGGCTCGATAGGAAGCTAAGTTTGATCGAATGTCAGATAACGATCTGCACGCGAAGTTGAACTAGCGATGAATAGATTATAGCCTGCGGTTTTAATTAAATAAGTATTAACTTGTAGGCGAGAAAACATTTTCCAATAAAGGCATTTGAACTGTTGGCGACACTTAGAATTCAGTTTCAGATCGCCAACATTTGTAACAAATATTTCTTGAGACAAGTAAGTTTTGACCAGCGACCCTGCAAGACAGCGCGTCGCCAAAAGTTTTTAGGTTTTCTGCTTGTATTTGCTTACACTGTCATCAGAGCTTAAGCAGTCCGACCTAGTTTACACAAGACACTCAATGCAGAAGAGTTCCTATTTCTATCTCATGGAGAAACTATCCCTTCGTCAGAAATCGTATGCGCATACCTTTGAATTGACGTAATGAATTGATCACCTTTACAGCGTGACTAGTTTCAATTATATGGAGGAGTTGCTACTTGTAGTTCTACTCCCTCATACTCCCTAATGGATGCTGGATGGGATGCCGCTAGTCCATCGCAGGGTTACTCCAGCATTAAATTCGCCGGCACCCATTTGTACACCTGGGTGGAGAGAGGCACTGTGAAAGTGTACCATATGCTCGTAACTAAGACTTGGAAAAGCAATCCGTCCAGCATTGTAGCTTACCGAGGAGTCACAGAGATACTAGCACTTTTGATGTCTCTTATTTA